AGAATAGGTAAGTAGCAACAGAGGGAAGATGTCTTAAAGGACTTGTTCTGTGAGCAGCTTGACCATGTTGACTGCCATGAAGGTGCAAGTGCCTGCAAGGAGAAGGCTTAAAACGAGGAGGTAAGAGGTATGACAGAGAAGTGTGCATAAGCATGGAAAATGAGTGTATCAGTAAGGTCATCTGAGGATAATCCAGAAGACGCATCTGAGACATTTTGTCAGGAGGACAAACACCAGTACATCAGATTTAATAACTTCTAAGCATCTGGATAATGCTCTGTGGAAAAAGTCCACGTTGGTGCAAAATATTACCAGGCCTTCAAAAACACGAAGAGGAAGGAAAGCCCTTTAACTGTAGGAGCAGCCGCTATCCACAGACACTTCAGTGCCATCTCAAAGCCTGACCGCTGACTCAGGCTGGCTGTGCTCCTGGTGTAGGCCAAGCAGTGACATCTGTCAGTGGGCATGCCTCTGGCCACAGCCACTACTTCAGCTGCCAGCCAGGAGAGAGCCAAGACACTGGCTCCTGACCCGTGCCAAGGTGGGAGAGCCTCTTCCCTCTCACCCTGAGTACAGTCCTTGTTCAGCCTCTGTACACGTGCATTCCTGCCTTCTGTTTAGAAGCTTTGAACAACAGGCTACCACACAATACAGATGCAGGGTGCATGATATTCCCTACAATGCTGTAGCAAACTGCATTAGAACCACATTTTGTTTAAAGGACTTCTATGGACACATTACTACCAGGTCAGCTAGCTAAACTGGTTGTGCATGTGGCACCACGGCTAAGTAAAGGGGCCAGTTTATTTGCAGAGGAATGTCATTCCCTAAGCCACTCCTCTAGCTACCTTGGCAGATGGAAGCTACACAAACCAAGAGTTTAGTTCTGTTCTATCAATCATTTGCAGTGCCCTGAGAAATGCAGATTTTAACTTCATGCCAAGTCCTGATATGAATGCTGGTACTCAGGGTTGGGGGTTTTTTGTTTGTTTTTAAGAAGAAAAGAAGAAATGAATTAAAAAGTGTAAGTAATTTTAGGAAATACATGAAACCTTCACACTATTTTCAGAGTAATTTGTAATTCAGGACCAGTACCGGAAAAAATAAAATCAACCATCTATTTATTTTCATAATATATATTCCTATCATTAAATTATCTTATATAGTAAAAGCAACTGTATGGAAAGCCAGCTTTAACAGGGCATTATATCTTTTTAAATTAAATATATAGCCAGTGAGAGGTTGTTGGGAAGTTTTGGGATTAAACATATTTGTCTCTGTTATTTAGTTAATTTTAAGAATAATGTTATATGATAGAGTAGAAGCCATTCCCACATTACTGAAAAGTGGATTTTAAGAAAATAAAAATGCTGCACTATGTGCAGCATTATTCTCCATTTGGGATGCTATTAAATCACACCTTGCACAGCTTCCTTTTTACACTTCCTCAGTGAAAGTGCTTGCAAAACAACTGGGCGTATTTGCTTCCAAGTTCATGTAGCCCCACAATACCTCCTACTTTGGAGCCCTCTTGAGTTATTGGTGCTCCAACACAGAGCTGATTCTTAATTTCATCATTTTACTTGTTTCCTTATTATTAGTCTAGCACAGAAACAGCCACATCATGTGCCAGGGACCCAACTGGTTCTTGGAAGATGTCTACATACTGTTCTCCATTCTGAGAGCCTCTTCAGAAAAATTATCCCATTCTATCACATCCCAGTTTTAGGGCCACCTCACCTTATATAACTTTTACCTGCAGAGTATTGTTCCAATGTTCTCCAAGTCCTGGCTTGAAAGGTGCGCTCCCGTTTCTCTTAACAAATTAATCACTTGTATGTGCCTTTATGAAAGGAATAAACAGAGAAAGTGTCTTGACCAGTAAGCTTTTTCCCCCTAAATCCAACATTACCCAAATACACAAACAGTGAAATTTCTTATACGATATTTGCCACTATCAGAGAACCCATGAATCTTCTCCAAGGTAAATGCAGCAAACAGAGCTGCCCTCCCAGTCAAAAAATCATTCACATACTAAACTCATGGAGTGCTAAGCTCAGCTCTGAAAATGAAAGGGATGCATCCTCTTCAGAGGATTTTTATTTTCTCTACCTTAGTGCTAGCTTAATTTAACACTTGAAATATTAGTAATTGAAATACATGCAAACAGTGAGGACATTTATTACATAGCATCATTCCTGTACTTTACAGAATACAATGCACATATTTATCAGTTCTGAATAAAATTTATTTGTTTCAGTTAAGCAATGAATCTTTACATCAACACAGTTGCTAATCAGGTGTTGTTTTTTTTTTAGGAAAAAACTTGTCCTTTCCTTTGAGATAAAGGGACAAATGGATATTTAAGCACTACTAGCCAATTCCTGTATCTTAGTCAGATAATTGAGAAAATCTACAGAAAAAGTCAGTCTCTAAAGGTACTACTGTGGATAGGAAATACCATGACAGATGACAAATGTACAACACGCGTTTTTCACAACTGACCTAGTGAAAGGTTCAGAACTAGGTTTGAAAAGGAGGTGACAGCCTGCTTCTCTGCTCAACAAATGATCTACTTTACAAATCCAAACACTTTTTTTCGCCTCCAAAAAAACTATGATGACACCAGTATATCAGGAATAGTTTCACAGTTCCTCTTATAAGTAAGTCACTACACCATAACACTTTAAAACAAAGAGTTGGGCATGTCATAGGGTGTTGAGGCACTGGAACAGGTTACCCAGAGAAGCTGTGGATGCCCCATCCCTGGCAGTGTTCAAGGCCAGGTTGGATAGGGCTTTTAGTAACCTGGTCTAGTAGGTGTCCTTGGCCATGGCAGGGGGTTGGAACTAGATGATTTTGAAGCTCCCTTCCAACCCAAACCCTTCTATGATTCTATGATCATTGTAATATGAAATATGTGGGTTTTTCCAACCCATTACCTAAAACCTCATCTGTAGTAATTAAAAACAAAAGTAAGCTTACATATACTTTCTGCTAAATCACTTGCATTTTCTTTGGAGGTAGCCATGGACCTTTCCATTTTAGAACTTGGCTAAACCACTTATCTCATCCCTGTACCTCTTTTTAGGAAACTCCATCTAGAATGAGAATTTACCTTACGGGGCTGTATTAATCCTCTGTAAACTTACACATTTCATGTATGAACTTAATTTATAAACTAAACAAAGAACTGTACAAAGGCTGTAGGAATCATTTTGCTTTTCCAAACACAGGTTACTTAACCTACCAGACAGATTATTTTAAATTGTACTTTGTTTCATGTGCATAAAAAATAAATAATCTTTCTTCATTTCATGGCAAAGTGTTGCTGGAACAGCACATGCTGCAGGTTAGTTGAGCTATCTGAAATATTTTTTCAGGTGGGTCCCTTACGACATGGCTAGTCATCCACAAGAATCTCCTTGAGCCAGCAAATAATGGCACAGCTTCCTATTTCAGTCTGTGATGAAGAATGAATTCTACATATATGACATTTTCAGTTCAGACTGAAGCAGAACAGTAGTCAGCTGAAGAGAAATTTGACATAAAATAGATTAAAGTAGAATATGTCTGTTCACTCAAGCTCACACTGGATACAGAACTGAAAATGGGAAGTGTCTGCTTACTCTCCAATGACTGCCCTATACCATTCCTTGTTTCCTACCTTGTATTTGAAATCACAGCATGAAACTAATGCTTTTTAAAATAAAAGCTATGAAAAGATAAAAGCATGAAAAGATAAAAGGCAGCAAAGCATGCAATGCTGTGTGTTATCTTGCCTCAGTGTGTTTCCCCTATGAAGTCCGTATCCTTGAATTCCAATGAAGAGACAGAGCTGGGTTTTTTTCCCCTCTGTTGTAACTAATTACTACTCACTGGTAGTGAGATTCCCTCCAGAAAGCATTTCATGCCCCACCTACACCGCATAGACGTTACAACTCTGAGTGGGACTCTATAATTTGATACAGACAGATTTGGGAGCATTTACCCCACATTTAATACAGCAAATTTAAGTGAGGAAAAATAGCGGTTTGAAATAAGATAAATATTTAAGCATTGAACCTAAGAATGTTTACAATAAATGCTTACAATAAAACATTTCTAAATAGAAGTACAATGTCCTGATGACTGGGAATCATTCAAAATCATGCTTCTTGGTATGGAGGGAAGAAGAGGAAGTGGTATATACCACACTGCTTGCTAATGGAAGGGTAAGAGAGGGGAAGAGTAAGGACAAATAGTATTGGACATCTTAAAAGTGTTAAATTTAGTGCTGTGACTATGAAGAACATAGTCCTATATACAACATACTGTGACTATGAAGCAACAGATCCATCCAAGAAAGCAAATGGACCACCTCACACATTCCCATCACTCAACATGAAAACTATGCGGGAGGTAAGTCACACTACAGCTTGTTCCTACTTGCACTCAAACAGTATTTACATTCTGCAGAAACTTAAGTCCTATCCAGAGTACTACTTCTCCTGTCTTGTACCTACCATAAGAACATTATTACTATTTCAAGAGGCTGGCTGTGAATTTTCTGATACTGTTATGTCTTAGGCACATAAGAGGTATTTGTCTTTAGAAGTTGTTTAAGTACTGCTCTCCTGTGGCTTTACAAAAGCCTTACAAGGGTCACAGTTTAGCTGACCTGAAGTTCAGCTGATGTCATGAACCATGAACTTCTTGGGAACAGTTCAAATGCAAATCCCATTTTAAGGTGACAGCATAAAAGCAAAAGCAGAGCAACTGCTGGACAATGAAAGTCCAAGGTGCAGAAGGAAGGCCAACACCATCATGTTAACTCGAAGTGCACAGCTGCTTGTCTAGTCTAGCCCCACCTGATAAGCAAAACCATAAGGAGCTGTTGTCACCTGCGAACTGTTCCTGACTCTCCCTGTTCTTACCAAAATTGTAATGCCTCTTGTTCAGACACTGCTGTAGAAGAAATGCTATTTTGCATATGTTATTTAAGTTAGCCTTTTCACTGTCATTAATCTGCTCTCTGAAGGAAAACACAGACAAAAAGGGTTTCTAGTGTCTCCTCCCTGCTAGATTCCATTATTGATAACACTGGAGATAAAATCCCCAGTATACACAAATATTTTAATGGATTAATAGCAAAATAAATGATTCAGTGTGGTCTTCAGCATTCACTGTTATGAGTGAAGTCTGAGTTCCACTTAAAAGCATATGAACTCTTATGGTTCATGAGGGTTCTGGATTCTACAGTAGTCAAGGTGCAGTACAGTACATATCATCTTAGGCCTTCACTTGGCAGATACTTATTAGAAGTGAATCAACTTAAAAAGGGATGAATCACACATGTGAAATTAATACACATGTAAGAGTTCGCAGGATTGGGGCCTTAGGGTGCACACCTTCCACCAACTCTCTTTAAAGAAACACAGGTGTCATGTATATCCAAACTTGACTGGCTTCATTCTTTTTCATGCTTGCTCCCCTAGCAACTGGAATGGTTATGGCAGCTTAGTTTTACTTGTTTGGTTTTCTCCATCATATCAGTGGGAATTTTATGCTCAAATACTGCAAGCACAGGCTTCAGAGCATTTCTGGAGTCAGTGGTGGTTAGATTTTCACTCTGCCTTAGATTTCCTGAAGTAATGTAAATGTAACCTTGCAAAATATCAAGTATTTAAATTCATATTTACGTGGGAGGTAATTTTACTGCTTCTAATCTGATGTTCTCACAGCACTGTACGAGCAACTCCCCATTTTCAACCTTCTACCACTGCTCTACAAGTAAGTGGAAGTACTGTTACTACATTAAATATACACAGTTTTTTTTAAAGACATTTTCCTGCTTAGAGAGTTTCTATTATTAAAAAAATATTATTCTATTGTTTTGAAAATGAATTATCCCTTCAGGGTACTGTAAGAAATTAAAGGAATGCTACTAATTTTGACATGTCAAGCACCTGGCCTATATTAACAGTGGTCTGTTTTAGCTTCATGCGTAGAGTGCATGAGACTACACACAAATAGCAGTTACAAATGAAAAAGCAGAAATGCAGTAGTTTATTTCTTATTTAGAAGTGGACTCCACATTCTATCATCTAAAGAAACAAAGAAAGAGTCCCTTAAATTAACAAAAATTAAGAGATTATCATTGGTATAGCTCAAGTTGCCAGTCAGCTGGCTGACAGTGCTACGTTAAGAAGCTTTTAAGAAGAGACGTAACTCCTGATCATCCTCACAAATTATAAGATGGAAAAGAGACATCAGTCACCATTATATAAGCTTTCATGCTTAGGTAAAAGGCAAGCTACTGAGAAATGTGACATAAAAAACTGGAAGAAAGCTATTTTTAAGATGAGTGGATACTCTACTGCAGTTAAATGCCAATTAAACAAATATTAATTCTCACAAAACACGATTAAGCTGATGCAATATTCAGTAAAATTGAGAAAGTTACAATATTAAACAGTTTAAAACATTGACTGCTCAGAAAGATCAGTTTTCCCTCTTCCTTCTCTGCCTCTTTGTACACTGCATCAGGATAATCTTTTTGCTTTCTGCATGCAACTATTTAATAAATAGAATTTAAATATTTCTATAGCAGAAATATTTTTAGTGGGTATCTAATTATGCACATATACAGCTGTCTGCTCTTTACCATTCTCCTTTATATGCTTATCGTGTGAAATGCAGTGTGAGCACACAGCAGATCATAAAAACACATTTATAAGATTAGTTTTAAGTCTACTCTTCCTCTTACTCCAACAGTAGAAACAAAAAGAGAAACTGAAAATGGTTATGGTGCAGTTTCCTTTTACAATTCCCTATATCAAAATGGGTGTGCAGTTTTAAAGAGTTTAAGAGTCATGGTAAGAGTCTGATACAGGAGTGGCAATGCAAAGGAATCCAAACAACAAGCTCATGTGAAATTCCTCAGGCAGTAGATGGGTGCGGTAAAAAAAGTAGGTGCCTGATTTGCAGGAACTTCTAATGGTATCTAATGCTTTAGCATTTTCTCACATTGGACCAGAGCCACCTCTATTCAACTGCAAGGTTATTTGTTTGATTTGCTGTTGGGCTTGTTTTTGCTTTGAGTTTAAGGGTTTGCCACTGAAGGACTTACATATTCATGAGATAAAGCAACAACTACAAAGCCATAGGGGACCATGCATTAGGTATGGCAATAGCACAGTGTGGCCACACAGGATTTCAAGTCTCAAGTTAAGAAAGCACGTTGAGTTTTCCACATCTGGTCTTTGAGACAGAAAAAGCCTTCAAGTTATTCCTGCAGCCAATGCAATACCAGGACTGTCAGACCTCCCACGCAGGTAACTCCAGCCTGACAGACCAGGTAAACTTGTCAGCGTTAGAAAGCCGTAGGAGTATCTGGGGAGAGACATCCATGAAGACCATGAAAATCCTATCACTCCAAGCTCCTTTACAGAAAAAACCTTCTCTCCTGTCATCATACAGACTGAATATGAGATAAGGAACTGAAAGGGGATCAAAGAAACAGGAGATTAGAGCATGCAGTTTCTAACATGTTAGAAGACCAATGGCTCTATGAATCCCCAGGCTATATAAATTGTTTTAAAATTGAATTTTGATAACTGATAACGTTTATAGTCTGTGCTATGGCCATTCCTTAGGACTATACAACATGGAAGAAACTAGTAAATTGCATGCCCATGACTACTATTCAAGATCTGCTGAGATCCAGAAGAACAGGAAGAGGAAATCCACAGAGCAGGCCGAGCCATGCAGCCATCCCATATAATTAGGAGTGGGCGGAAAAGAAAAATCAAAAAACCAGTCACCGAGCAAGAGACTCGGGAAAGCACTGGTAGAAGGGAAAGATTAAACGTACCAACCTACCGGTATATTTTGTGCCAATTGAAACAGTCTGCGTTTGATGAGAAAGGGGAGGGCAGAAAGAAAACAGCCCTTGGTCCTGCTCGCTCACTTCTGACAGTCAAAAGGAGTGATCAGTTTGGCTGTGCTTTATGAGGAAGCTTCATAACAAAGAGCGGAGCCCTGAAATTACGGACAAAGTCTTGGCATGAAGGTAGCAATAAGTTACCTTATGCTAAAATTCTGCATGCATACCAAGTTGTCTGCTTTCACAGTGTCACAGAATGGTTTGGGTTGGAAGGGACCTTAAAGATCATCTAGTTCCAACCCCCCTGCCATGGGCTTTCATGTCATATTATTTTGAAACAATCTTAATTTAGACTAGTCACATTCTTTGAAATGAAGCTGGTTTCTGTTACTTTATCTGATGTCATTTACTTTTTTGCTGAGACAAAACAAGACCAAACGCAAGTATGGACTTTAAATCCAGAATGATAGAAGGCTCATAAACATTACATAGAGAAGTGTATAAATTATTTTGTTACCTGAACTTGATCGCATTCATCAGCGGGGTAGATCCGTATCTGTCTCTAGCATAAACAGTTGCACCAGATGTCAACAAATACTCAACTAATGGTAAATGCCCTTCAGAGGCTGCAATATGAAGTGGAGTTCGGCCATCATAGTCTCCACAGCTCAGGTTTCCACCCTACAAAAAGACAGATACTTTGCATGCTACAAAGATAATGGCCACACATGAAGTTGTTGGTACAACAGTCGATGCATACGAAACATTTACATTCTGCCACCAAAATGGTAAGCTTGTCAAATTTACTTAAAATTTATCTTGTGGCATTGTTTTAGCACCAATAAAGATACTTATTCCACCTTCTGCATGCTCTCCCCTCCACATATTTGCATTATTCATTCCACCTTCTCCATGTTCCCCCCTCCACGTATTCTCATTACAGCCCCTTCAGATATGCTCTTTATTGCAGTAGACCACACAGCAGCTTTGTGCCTACGGTCTGCTAATTTTACTTGTCTTAGTTTATTGTTATTTTCAAGATATATTTATCCTTACTCGAGCCCAATTATTGAAGTCTCAGGACCAAAGCAAAGAGAGAAAAAAAGAAAAGAGGTGTAGAAGATAATACAGTGAAATGTCTGATTCTAAGACTTAGGTAGTTGCTTACCAGTAATTATAGCTTCCTCCTGTCATTTACAACTCTATTTAAAAATTAATGTTTTGTACAACTGTTAATTTTACATTACCATTTCTGCTATGGCTCTTAGTGCATCAATGTCACCCAGTTTAGCTGCAGCACAAGCCAAAGGTGGAATTAATGCATCTCTTATGGCTTCTAACTCCTGAGAAACAAATTAAATTAAACATTAAATATCAGCCTCGCCTCTAATGTGATTGATGTCTAAGTCATAAAAATACTACCCTCGCTTTCATGTAAAGTTTCCAAATTAGTCATTTGGATATTTAAAAATGGTAGCATTTAGTTCTTGGAAGGAAAGAAGTCTTATGTTTATTTTACATTTTGTCGGTCTCACATCATAAAATTTATATTCCTCCCTGGCAAAACTACAATAACCTGATACGTATATATACTTATGCCATTTAAACTGTGTACTTATTAACATCTCAGTACTGCCACAGTTTCACATCAGTACAGTAATAGAAACAGCACTGGTAGAAGTTGGGAAAGACCATATAGTCTAGCCACCTCAAGACTGGTTCAACTGTCTTAATGTGATTCCTCAGACATTTGTGTAACCTGTACCTCCAAACTTCCACTGACAAGCCCCACAGGCCCCCTAAATATCCTCCCATTTCTCATACTTACTAAAGAAGAACCATACATTCAGCATTCATTAGCTACTAAAAATTCCATCTTCCCTGAAACCAAGCCAAGAGAAAAGCAAATACTTATATCTTACAACCAATACTGTATTTTCTGATTTGCCAGTTGTGAGGGACTAATACTAAACATCACAAGTTACACTTGTATAGTGCTTCCCTAGTAGCAGCCTTCTATGACTGCATGTAAAATTAAGCTGGTTTCCCCATTATTATTTGGATTCCTCCAAACTGTCAATACACTGGACCACAGAAATACTAAGCACTTCTTGATATCATTGATAGCTTGAATTACAGCAATTGTCTGAAGCTTGTTATTGCAACTAGGCAGCCAAAAAAATAAACTCAAGATGGGGCTACAAAGAGGGAAAAAAAAAAGATAATATGTTTTTAATTAAAAACATTTTAATGTTATGCTTGTCATTGTGTCCTTTCTCCCTAACCCAACTGGTTAGCTGGGACACTCAGTACTGAAAAATAACATGAAAGCTCCAATGTTCCATTTTCTTTCAGCTTTGCAGTTCATCTTTAAGCTAGTCTCATTTAACTGAGTTTACAGCTTTACATGAGTTCAATTTTAAATATTTAAGTGTGTACCTCCTTGCTGCTGATACTCAGAGATTTGGCAATCACTTGAATAAACTTGCTATCTCTCAGAGAGATCTTGGCTCCTGTGGGTACAACAGTCATTTCTCCTCTTAGATTCTCACTCAGCATCTGAAAAGCAAGCAATCAAATCCTTTGTTAGCAGAGGAAAAATATGGTAGCAGCCTAATAAAAAAAAACCTTAGGTCAAGTTAGAAAATTGTTTGGAGAAATTATGGAAACTAACTGAATGCAGACAAAAGATTAAAGAAATATTTACTGTTCCATGAAGACTGCAAGTTTAAAAAGGGGGAGGGGCAAAAGACAGGCAAATAAAACTTTCTTCCAAAGCAAAGAAACAAAAATAAGCATATAACAAAACACCCCATTTTTCAGTGTATGCAGACAAAAGTTTCCTAGGGGGGGAAGCTGCAGCCTACTTAAAAACACAAAGATAGTAAGTAATTAGCAGAGTGAGGCTGAAGACCAGAATATTCTGAAATGCTGCCTTTTGCCAGCAATCTCAAACCTCAATACTCCTACACAGACTCTGTATGTAGGCCTCAAAACAAAGCCAAGTGCTGCCTGTGAATAGTCATGTATTTCAGTGGGTTTTCAAATGGCTTAATTAGCCCAGATTTTGTTAAAATTTGGCCACAGAGCCAGCTTTGAATGCAGAGAGTCTACAGTAGTTCTAGTAATTCTGTATTAAACCAGGCGTGTAACAGTTTGCAGGATGGGTGCATGCAATAATATAACCAGGAAGAAAAAAAAACAACCTACAACCAAACCAACAAAAAGTCTGCCAATTCATGTATAGCAAGTGCTTGAATATGGCAATAAAGAAGTGAAAATACTCCAAAACAGGTTCTGGGAAACCTGGAGAACAGAGAGTGAAGCTAGCCATTAAGAAAAAGCAACTAGATTCCTCAGTTCTGACAATTTTACATATTGGCACTGTTTCACAAAAGGCTGCTGATGCAGCTATAAAGGAGGACGTAGTTATTTCAATTAGAATTTTAAAAAGCAGGATTGTGAAAGTTTGCAAAAACCAGATGGGATGTTGGAAGGAGGAATGCCCCAGGTTTACTTATGTCTAGGCATGCCCTTTATTAAAAAACCTCCAAGAGCTGACAACACTGTAGTTGTCTGCTGGAAGAGTCCCATATGCATGTAACTCAGAGGATACCAACTGCTTTGGCGCACTTTTAGAGTCTGACAGGTTGAGATCATTGCTTTGCGCAGGTAACCTTAGCAATTGGCACCTGTGCTAAATGCACCCAATGGAAAGCCCTGTGTGCCTTAGTCCTACCAGCTCTGCAGCCATTTGCATGTGTCTGGGGGCACATTCCTTGCTTCTTCATGTTGAAAGAGAATCCTAAAATAACCACAACGGCTTCAGGAGAGCTTCCGTCTCTTGGGAGACTATTGTTTGGTGATATGTTTAGCTGAAGATATTGCCACAGACAACATATTTCCAGGCTTTCTTCTTCTCATGGTCTCTACCACTCATTCCTGCCCAGGCAGTGCAGCATGCTGCTTCCTTACTTGTGCCAATACAATTGTTTGTGGGTATGTACAATGAGTCAAATGAGGAAACTGATCCTGCTTAATTCAAAGAAATTGCAAAAGTTATTTTGTTTTTCAAACCATACAAAGGAGGTTCCAGTACCACCACAGAAAAACTGCCTAACACATTCCAAAGGGCAGCACATGAAGATGCAGGAGTACCATATGCCGGTGGTACCTTAAACATCCTATCTCCAAGTCCTCACCTGAGTAAGGCAGCTATCTCACCTCAGCAAAGTGGATCTCAAATTAAGTTTTAACTCACACACCTAGGCAGGAAGCCAGCTGGGAAAGTCACTCCTGTCCCAGGTCAAATAATTCTCTGTGCAAGAAAATTAAAGTCTGCATTAAAAAAAAACAGGCCAGTTTGTTCCAGGGTCAGCGAGTGTACCAGAGGGACATCAGTGAAAAGCCTGGGTGTCTAAAGTGTATGTACACAAACACATGCAATACCATTACTCTTCACACAGCATTTTGTCTCCTGTCAAGCATATTCTTGCACACAGTACGTTCTTGCCATCCTCACCAAAAAAACCACATAGCTCCTCCTCTCATTTTTCATAGCCAGGGCTTTGGCAAACAACCAAAAGCTCAGAGTCTGAAACTGTTTCTAAGCATGACAAGTGGTACTTCCAGCCACCCTACTTATCATCCTAGGTATCCAAATATGTTTGTTTGAAAAGCTGCTACTGGTTGGAAGATGTTGAACATGAAATAATGATCAAATTTGTTTCAGTTTTAATAAAAACAGAACATCCTAAGATACACATGTGCATGCAGTGCTTAAGTCTAGAGAGTGACTCATCATGATGTCATCTCTGACAGTGTCAGGATTATGATTTCACTGCATGTGAGCACAGAAAGACATGCATTCCTGCAGACTGCTGCTCCCTTATCCAATTCAGAGCTATATGATCCTTGTATAAAAGGAACATGATATATAACTATAGAATTTGAGAAAAAAAGTCTTGATTAAGCACAATGAACAGTAAGAACATTGTTAAAGGGGTTGTGATTTTAAAAACAGTTACAGTTGGTCCTTAGAATAATCCTCTATTTTTTATGGATTTATAAAGTGTATATCCTCTTAGAGAAACAAACCCTAACCCTGTCATGAGTAATGCTGTAAAGGAAGAAGCTGTAGGCAATATTTATTTTCAGAATTAGCTTTGTGTAAATGAGTCTTGGATGAAATCTTTTACCACACTAAGATCAATGGCAAGATCTTTGTTGACGTCAGTAGGGTTAGGATTCTGTCTTCCATGTAAATTTCTACATATGGGTTTTTAGTACAGAAATGTCCAAGGTAGCCTACCACCATTTCAAGATGCACTTTTATGGCTCAGTGATGGTTTTTACCTGACTTATACAGAGAATTCTTTTCTCTCCCAATCTACATACATTCATTTGCTTATCAGTATTTTCCTTTAGGATAAAAACATGCCCTGTTCACATTATCGCTCTAGAACCATTTGCTTTTAAATGCAAGACAGAAGCTCAAGGCATTCAGCTAAGCTGAAGTCAGCACAGTAGATGAGAAAGTTAAAGCCTTTTGAGGTTACACTGAAATATTTACCTGCCTCTTCTCCTCCCAGCTAAGCTTACTCTTGCTGAGCGTGTATGACAGTTTAGTTAGGGCTGCCTCTGGCGTCATATCACCTCCAGGAATTACGCCAACATCAGCGAGAGTCTGGATAAAAAGGAATAATGATTCCAATTAGCATAACATTCAGGAATACCTGCATGTACAGAAAATTTATATGAATGATGAGTAGCTACACAGAACACAATATGCAGCTGTGCTTCCACTCTCTTGCTCTTCTTACTGCCACTGTAATTTTAGTTATCAAATACTGAGCAAATACTAAAAACAGATGAATAAAAATGGGTTTAAATTCCTTTTCATGCAATAACACATAAGAATTCAACTAAACGCTTGCCATGGTCACTTACTATGCTAAAAGGGAAAGCTTACAGATCTGTATCAGCTATCTGCAGAGTTGTCAGATTCCCTTTATTGAAAAGCTGCAGTTACTCTGCTTTAACCCAGTGGCATTTTGAACATTGTCAAGTAGGCTGTTCTCACACAGACATATTTACCATTCTTTTATGGGGCATTGCTTTGGATTAACTCCAGCACTACAGCATGCTCCCAGCAGGAATTTTTCAGATCCTTTCAGGCCGCACTAGCAGTGTATGATTTAAAACATACAATTAAAATACATAGTTTACACACTTTTTACAAGAACAACTGAAAAAGATGTCCTTTTTAACTTATCTTCCTGGTAGTAAAAACCCCAAACATATTTAAAACAAAGCAAAAAAGCAGAAGGATCTTTGCCATGGTCAGCAAGGCCCATATATGTTTCCTCATGGGAAAACACATAAAAGGAAGTTGAGAAATACTTTCTGTACTGCAGACCTAGCCAAAGACTGTTAGGGCTTTTTCAGTTTGAGAAAGAGGAGGAGGAAGGGATTTCCCAGCTTCCTTCCTATACCTAAATTCCCCTCAATTATAAGTGTCTACTGTGCAGATGGATCAGAGGCCAGATATTCAGTTAATTAAAACATACACTTCAAGGGAAACCAGGGACTCAGCTGACCCACCTGGCTAGCTTGAATGAGTAAAAAATAGCTTAGCCACATGCAAAGACCTGTGAAAGATTTTATTTAAAGAAAAATCAGAGTAAACTGAATGTTACAACAACTTCCCAGCACTAATCCATGGTACTTCCTCCACTGAGCAGTTCCTTATGAAAAGGAGAAAGCAATGAAAGAACAAGTGTGAAGTAATTTCATAGGACTTGGGATTGTCAGTGTTCTACTCAAAAGATGCCAAGAAAACAGGGCAGTCTCCACCAACGGATACTGAAGCAACATAAAACATGCTTCATACAAAAAGTAGAAGCCAGAAGTAAACCCATTTCCACATAGCCTTGAAGTAGTTCAGTAAGACCTGAGCAGAATCCTTCAATTCAGCCTAACAGTCTGGACCAGAGTGCAAAAAGCCATTTTAGAGGTGTCCAGCTGAAGAATCTTTTAACCAAAGCATGGAAAAGGTTTTTCTCTTCCTTCCATACATTTTAGAAGTTCATTTCAAGCAGAAGATCACATAAAAGCTAGGCTTCATTCTCATGTTGCTTTTTCAAATATAAGTTTGGTGTCTCTTATTGACCTAACTGCTTTATTCTTTCCCTGTGTTGTTCTATATAATCCATGTATTCCTATCCTACTTGCTTCAGAGCATGGCATCTTTGCAAAAGTTAACTTCTCAAAACTCCTCCATTAAGTTATGCAAAAGTTTTACCAACACCCAAATAACTGCCCATATCAGAAAATACTGAGCTTGGATACTGAAGAGGTCGAAAGAAACTCTTACAGTCTCCTTTTCTTTCTCCTCAAAACAGACTATGTGTTCTTGAAGCAAATATAACCTAAAGCTGTGTCAAAACCAATGTTAAAAGAGGAAGGTTTCAGCACCAGACTAGAGTACCTAGGTTTGCCTTACAGTCAATGAAGAGGCTGGCTCTAGCAGAGGCATGGTTGCTCCCAACAAAACCAGGTGTCTAAAAGAGGGGGATGAGTCACCCTCCGGCAGTGCTTCTTGGCTATTTAATGGCTAGGTTTTTTTATAAAGGCCAGTTAAACCAGCTTCCTCCACACTACCACATGCAACACATACTCTTACATGGCTTTGAGCTCTTATTAGTGCCAGTGATGTCACATCTTAATACACAATTGAGAAACTCACTACAAAATACCCTGGATATTAACAGTATCTGCACAAAGCCTGCTTTAGGCTAGCCTGCATTGGCTAAACACAGCTGATTTCCATTCTGCAAGACAGAAACTTCCTTACATACTGCTCTCCATTGTGTCACTGGATTCAGCTGTACTTCAGTCTAATAAAAAATTTGGAATATTGCTTGTATTTGCAGACTTTCTTGATGATCCTACATTGTAGCTAAGTAACTGCTAGCCTACCAAATATTTATTTGATCATCTGACCCCTAAGCTAGCTTCTAGCTCAGTGGAATCCCTCTGGGGGAGACACTACCTATCTAATGCAATGTATCCTGGAGTGCTGCATGCAACAAGCGCAAGCAATCACTAATGTGGGATTTGAGCTGACCGTTTTGACCACTGGGGTCAGGAACAACAGGATCTTGTTTCCAGATACGTATTTAAACACTTCAACTTTAAAATTTTTGAGATATAGTTATTTTATGAGCAATATCTCTACAGGTAATGAATTTGGTTTTATATACTGGGACTATCAGAAGTATATAATCAAGTCGTACCAGTGGGATGGTTCTTTTACACAGCAATAGAGTCTGAAATTATTGCACAATCCTTACCTGCCCTGTTGCATAGACTGTTTTGACAGACCCTCGTAAGCACTGGGTACAGTTTAGAATCACTACTTTCCGTTCAGCGGCTTTCTTCAGTTCTTCCAGCAAGTCTTCTCTATTGTTTGGGGCATTGCCACTACCATAAGCTTCAAGTACAATTCCCTCAATTGGAGGCTGAAGAAACGCTTTTACCTGTTTAAAAATAAAACAGGGAAGAGAAACAAAAGGTGTGTTTAAGTCACATTAAGATTTTCATGTATGGCAATAGCATTTTCAAGAATGGTCTATTCCTATTATAGTCTTACAGGCTCTCATGCATTACAGTCTTCTCATGCCTTTCTGTGCTCCCCATTTGCAGTAACTGGGACTGCAGAATAAGCTTTAAAAAAATGTGAATTTCACTCTATAGCATCCTTTAAAATTCCTAGAGATATATATTTTAAAATCAACTATTTTCTGCAGTCATGACCTTGGTGTGAAAAAGGATGCTACTGTTCAAGTGCCTTTAGCAGGCTATACCGTTGCACCATGGTGGAGCAAAAGATTTACCCTTAGAAAATAAATGTAGAATTATTAATTGAGATTAGAACCCCTAACCCTGCACAGATTTGTTACTTCAGCAAAGAGTTTTGTTAACAAATGTCTGCCTAAGAGAGAGTGTCTCACCTTTCAGGAAAGAATGTTCTAATGAAGCCTGGAGTTTTTTAACTCAAAACCTAATTGTTTTAACTCAAGGTAGATTAAAAAATAAAGAGGCTCTAATACACTCTGGGTCAGTTGTTACTCAGGTAGCTGTTGTGCCTAACTGTAAGAGAGTGCCTAGCAAAGTCTTCTTCCCAGAAAGACGTATTTTAAACAACCTAAATGTTTCCTTGCTGATCGCATATGCTAAATGCAATACACTGTAAGCCCCTATGAGGCTAACTATGCAGTTGGAGTCTTATTGCAAATATACCATTCCTCTGCCTTTCCATCTGTTCATATTGACCTAAAAATGAAGGTAATATAATTGAGGAGTGCTGCTTAAACTACTGGATTCAATTTAAGATGGCAACAGCCACAAAAGACCTGTCAATTTAACAGAGATGGTATTAGACAAAAATTTAAAGACAAATCTACCTAAACCTACAGTTCTGCAAAATAATTTCTAAAGGCAAAAAAAGTCCCACCTCTCATTTTCAGCAGCAAAATCCCATTTCTCATTTTCAGCTCTATAGGAATGCTGAGGGTCATGTTAACCATCAGTGTGAAACAAAATGAACCTTAAAAACCAAGCATGAATTGTAGAAATAATTACTCTCTTCCATCCACCATTTTGTGTATTCTTTGACAAGCTATCTACTAATACGCCTCAATATGCAGCAGTAGAGCATTTCACATGGTCACAAAAAACAATGAAGCTTTTATCAATAGCTTATGGCATATGAAAATAGTCTTTAAATTCTCTGATGTTCAAAACAATGTTTATCAGAAGAAGACAGATCCTTTCCCTTCCCTCCAAAACCCCAACCACTGCTACAAACAATGCAGCTTCCCTACTTCAGCTGGCAAATCAAGTATTGAGCATCCCTTCACCTGCTTCCAAAATGAAGCGGTGACACTTACAACAGCAGCAGTGATTCCTGGGAAGATTCGCAGAAGCCCAACATTCCTGTTCATATTGGTGTGAACTCGAAATTTCTTTTTGGTATTGGCTCTCCACACTGTTTCCCAATTTACTGTTAAGAGAAATAGCCTTTTAAATTTAAGACACAACATTAAGTACACCTGTAGCACTTCATACTTACAACATTGTCTTTAAAACTGTTTCTTATGTAGGGGATTCATGGAAGGCAATGTATTTTTGAAAAGAAGAAATGAAGACTCATTTAAGCCAGCAGCCATAGCAGCCGATCTAACACACCTTATTTATTAGGTGCCACAAAATGTCTTCAAGGCCACACCCAGGCCAGGCCCAACTGTGTTAAATTTTAGCTCTAATTCCAAAATAGTCTAGATTCTGAAGTAAATCAGTATTACTTATAAACATTTCTTAGTTGTTGCCCTTCAAGGAGATATTTAACATACATGCTACTTCAATTTAATAGCATTTTATAGCAAAGGCTTCCAAAATGAATAGTTTAGTTCAGTGATCATTAGTGAAACGGACTATTTATCAGACACAAAGCTGCATAGCTCTACTACAACCTCTTCAAAAGAGAAGTCTGATAGCTGTGAAAAGGATCGGAGTCCTAGACCTGATGGGACCATGATGTTGAACATGTCCTGTCAGTGCCAGCTCTCCCAGTTTTGAGTGAGAAAGCCACAACCAAGAGAGCGCTGTGCAGATCTAGCACAGGTGAGATACTTACTTGTCACACACTGACCTGAACTTCTTTGTTATGTAGTTGGCATGATACCAACCTGGATTCATGTTTAGAAAACACACCTTCATCTTCCCAGACATAAGAGATGACAAATTCAGTTACTGTTGCCGTTAATCACCTCCAGAGTTTATTAGGTAGTTACTAACGATTAAATAAAATAGCAAGGATTCAATTAACTCAGATAATACATTTAGAGCCAGGAGCCAGCTGTTTAACTAATAGTCTGTTTGTGTTGCATTATTAGAAACCAAGTCATGCATTATTGATTTCAAAATTTTACTACTTCAGCGGAGGAACACAGCAATCGTTGGGCTGACAGCTCCTACAAGGCAGTGGAAGAGGTTTAACAAACAGCGGCCAACAGATAGCTCAGAGCGCCATGATTCAATGAAAGTAAACCATAGCATAAAGCTACCTGTTTCATGATTTAAGCTGTTTAAATTTTGGAGAAACTTCCAAGCAGCAAGACAGATAAAAGATCTGCATGCGTAATACTGACTTGCTCTCAGCCATGTGGAGAGTTACTCACACCAATTACTGTTTCAATCTCTTGCAATCAGCAGACAGCCACTTGCAAAAAAAATCAGAGTAAAAGTCTCCATTGAAGCCTGCTCTATTGCCCCGTTACTAAAGATACTAAAAACTACGCATTCCATTAAATCAGGACAGAAATATATCAATCACCTATAAGACTAGAGCCACTGTATGTTCTTTCTAAAGATACCATACATCATTAAACAGGTCATAAGCAGTTGGCATGGCAACATGTTTGTCCTACAAGCCACACTTCAGCACATGGATTTCTAATGCCCTGAGAATGGGAGAACAGAACTATAGACAATTTCTAGTTTCCTTCTTTGTGCTAAGCTGGCTACCACTGTTCTGAAACCACCTGGCTGGATTTAGTAGCTAGCCAAGGAGCTCTCAGAGGTCTCCATGAGCTTTCCAGAGTGAGTTAGAGGCATGCAGGATGTACACGGGTTAGTGCAGAAAGCTGTGCATTTGTTCTGCTTGAGGTTCATAGGCCTGGCTAACCACACTGGTTCATGAGCACTGTGCTTTAAGAGTAGCAGTGTTTAGCAATAAATCCAATCCTTTCAACCTTCTAACAGTCAGATTAATTCTTTAAAAGCAGGCTCCTCTATAAGAAGGTATGGCAATAAAATTGTATTAGAGGCTTCTTTCCTTTATCCTCCATGAGCTAGGAGTCCCTGCCAAAACTTCACAAAAGCATACTACTAAGTTTGGCAACTATTAGCATCCCTAATGCCTGTAACGAACTTGAAGAATGAACTGAGGGAACCTGCCTTGGCATGGATCACTAAGATACTGCCAAAAGTAGAACACCAAGGAGGGAGATCAGAGGATAGGTTCAGAAGACAGACCTATACCAGGCCTATACCTGTACTCTTGAAGTACGCGCTACCAAAACCCTTATCTTCTTTAAGATAAATGTAATGCATGCAGACATAGTACAGTGATGTAATTCCAAGTTATATTAAAAAAACACACTAAAGATTGCCCCCAAGTTAACATTCTCTTGGTCATGAACCCCATCAGCCTATGTAACATGCTTGGTATTGCAGACTCCACAAATGTCAGCTTTCCATTAGACAAATGAGGCTAAAAGGCAGAACAAAACGCAAGTACAATGCAAAAGTCAAAGACAAACAAATATACATAAAAGCCCAACTTCATCTCAGATTTATTCAGAACTGTTGTGAAACAGAGCACCATGCAGGGAAAAAAAATTCAGACCACACTCTGCAACCTCCATCACAAAGACTACATCCGTAAAAAGAAAGAATATTTATGTCGCATAGCTAAGTTCAAGTATCTCTATTGTACTGAATAAACCAGCTATCTTGCAGCCTATAGTCCACAGCAATCTTCTTTTATTAAATAAATTTAAAAAGAAAAAGGAAAAAGAAAAAATCTTAGAAATCACTAACAGATCTTAAATAAGAAACTCAGATACAAGCAGGTGAAGTGCAAAAAAACATATGTATTGGTGTTCATAACAGTTTTTTATCCTATGGATAAGAGAATAATTAGGGCTATTTAGTTTTGGCACAACACAGAAAACAGTAACCTGTCGTGACTTCGATGGTCTGCGCTTGTAAAGAGTTTAACTGATATAGTGTACAGCGTTATGTAAATATGGATACAAACCTGAAGAAACGTAAGCTAGCTACTACTGTTGCACAGCAGAAAAGAAGTTTATAACGCAATGTACATATATAAAGAGGTAATGGCTATTTATGTACTGTATCCAAAATGGCTTGTGATAGAAAAGATTTCATTATTCAAGGAGACTGCATTCAAGATATTAAGGCTTTTTTGGTTTTTCTTCCAAACAAAACCATCACATAAACAATACTCCACTGTTTCCAATCTCCCCTTCCGTACCAAACACTACAGCTTTTAAAATTACAGCTCAAAAAGTTACATCCTTATCTTCTTCAGCTTTATTCTCTCTCTTTCACACACACGCACACGCGCACACACACCCACCACTACGGTGATACAGTTAGTGAAGAAAAAAAACATCAACCTGACTTAAAAAGAAAAGAGAAAAGCAGCTCTACACAGTCTAGAAAGCAGCAACACACACCACCTCCCACCACCCCCGTTGTTAAACAGCACCTATGCCACAATGCAGGTTTCAACTTATAATGGGAGAGCAGCAACTAAGAGCGACACCTCCCTTAGGAGTGGTGACTGAACTCCAAGTTATGAAATCAAACAAGAAATACAGCTTTTTGTGATTGCAGAGCTCCAGACAAACAGCAACGCTTTCTTCTCATCCTTCTCTGCAGGGCTACGGGCGAGCCCTACCATTATATAAGCTGCCCTGGCGCTCATTATGATTCATGGCGACAGCCAAGGGGTGGGGAGCGCAGGCCAACCTATGAGTGCAAATTCCTGAAGGAGGCAAAATAACACAGATCCCCTTTTTTGGCACTTTGTTGTAAAACAATCGACACACATCTTCTGAAATTAATATTGAAATTGAATGGCGGTGTTGCAAGAATCAACATGCCTACTTGCAAGGGAGCGGGGGACCAAAAGCACTTCACTGAAGAGAGCTGGCACTTGCCTTAATATATAAATGACCTGGGCTTCTTACTATAAATAACTAGAACTGCCAACCAGGACACAGACTTGGCCAGTGATGAGTAGCTTCTTTCTAATGGGACTGGTGGGTAGACAAGCCCAAAAGGGCCTTCTAACCTTCTGCTGATGCTGTACCACATTTACATGCACAGTCATACAGGCTCTGCTCATCCCCTGCACAAGCTATGTTTCTCATCACACAGTCCTGTACATGTGCACCACTCCCAGAAGTTACATGAATGTGTGATGAAGAAAGCAAGTTTCATATATGCTTCATTAGGACAATCAAGAATAGAGAAGAGTAACCAGTTATGAAATATAATGAGAATCTTTGCACATTTCAATTCAAGTAGTCCTCCTTGTTTCTCCTATTTTCACAATATTGGAGAAATAAGGCAAGGTCTCTTCAGTTTAAGATTTTTGAAACATTTATTGTTATTCCTATATTATCCATTTCATACAAAGATTGTTGATTCTCCTGCAAAAGTATTTCCCATCGGCATTAGGTTTCTTATTCATCTCAGGAGTGAGCTAGAATTTTTCATTTCTTCCAGGCTTTTCTTGTGCTAAATTGAAAGTCTTAAAGAAGCTGACACACTTGCTCATCTAAAACTGGATAATGGGACTCTTAGGTGTCTTAGGATCTGGCCGAGAACACAGCTGATTGATAGGATCAAAAATCTACTGGGAGGTAACAGAGTGAAGTATGGAAACCAAAAATGAAAAAAGAGCAGCAGCTAGAGTAGAAAAAGGAACTAAGCTTCTCCCTCTCCTCTTCGGCACTGAAGTAGATCATTGCTTTTATACAGTATGCCTAGCCTCAAAGAGCATGTCTTGTCCTTATTCCTGTATACCAAACCATGATCCCATTACATTCCATCCTGTCACCTCTCCCCCTCTGCTTCTCTGTAATTTTCATTCCCAGCTTTGTTAGAACCAGGAAGCCTGAGGAAGAGTTTCTGCACATGGGCTACTCCTCCTGGCATCCTCAGGCTGCTCTCCACAATGCTGAAGCAGCAAGAGTCAGCCCTGTCTACAGAAGGATTAAGGCATATTACTCAAAGCCATTTGGGAAAAAAAGAACAAAAAAAGGTTAAAAGATACTAGATCTATTTGGTTTGTTTTGAAAAGCCCAAGTGGTTCCTTGTCTCTGTGAAAGCCTCATATGAGGACTGAACAAGCAAACTCAAGGGAGACAGCTATGTTTCAAACAATTACTCTGGACAAAATAAAGCAGCACTAGTAGTTAGCCTGTACTATAAATTGTGTTTTTTTCAAAATGAAACAATCCTTCAATACTGACACCATCATCTTGGATAAATGATTCTACTCTAACTGGGTAATCAACTGAAACAAGTAAAAATAGAGCCTATCACACTAGCAGTTTTAAAATCAGAAATCCCCACTGATCTCAATGAGGCATTCTGCTGAAAATATAATGGGACCCAATACAGGCCAAGGGAAGTACTTAATAACTTTCTCGTTTTTCTAATATAAGCAAGGAATCACAGAACAGTTCATTTAAATCCAAGACAGAAATAGCATACAATTTACAGCTTGATTTCATTACTGATCAGTCAGTAAATGGAATTTATTTATACCCTATTTGATGCAGTTCATAAAAACCCAAGAAATAAGATTCTCCCCAGTTTACTGCAGCAGTCAACTGAAAGTATTCCTCTTGATTTCAAATACACCAAATTGGACACAGCACAGTAATACAACATGGCAGACTCTCTGAGAGATGTCTTATGGACCACTACAGTATTTCACAGGCTTCCTCAGTTTGTATCTGGCTGCTACAAACACAGCACTTGGGTCCTGAAACTTTAAATAACTCCCACTCATTAGGTGGAAGGGATAAGCTTATTTTTCCAAATTGCAGAATGTCTCTCTTTAGTAGTAGAAACCATTCAGAATGGAATGCTGCATGGCAGAGGGCTACATCTCCTACTGCCACTAATAGCACCTAGCAAAAGAATTTGGGAACCCCCTTGTATTCCTATTTTTTGTGATAATGGAGACTGTCACCAAGTGCTACTCCCTTTTAATATACCTACCCTACCCAAAACCAGCTTGCATAACATAATGGATTTAAAATTGTCCTTTAGTATGCTTTCTGGCAACTCCTCATTTGGCTAGATTCCAAATGTGTCTCTCCTCTCTTCATATAAAGGGTGTAATTTATTCAAGAACAGACACCAAGTGTGATAATGACTTTGCAAATGGATATTGAAATCTTCATGCAGTTTTTCCCCTCCTAAAAAAACAGAAACATAGGAATTATAGGGAGCCTGAGTAACTTTGGGGGAAGAAAACCTTCACCCAGTGCATATTCTGGGTCTGGTGTTTTCAGTGCGCTTGCAGTTTAGACAGTTCCTACATATCCAGTAAAACATCTTACACAGTGACATGAATCAAACAAAGCTGCATGTACTCTGCAATCGTTTGACTGATTTTCAAGCCCAGCATGGTCATTAACAAGATTAAATTCTTTGTTCTTTCAGTCCTCACTCCTTCATTTTTATCTTCAGAGCAAGCATTTTCATGACACAGGGGCAACACTCCCTCTGGTTAGTCTGGATCTTTAGTGAAACTCAGTCTGGCTAGCTCACATCTACATTCAATAGATAAATGCAGTTGAGTCATAAATTGTGTCTTACTAATATTTAAACAGTTTCAGAACAGGTAAAGCTACAAGGCTTTCAAAGATTTTGAGTTTAAAGTAGTATTTCAACTACATAGACACAGATTCTTCTCAGCTAGAGTTCTGTTGCATGTGGCATACATTACAAGACTTAAGAGAAGATGTTGCTTACTTGTAATATCAACCTCAGCATTTGCAAGTGGAGGCAGGTTAGGTGAGGAAAAGGCATTGAAACTCGCAGCATCCACCTTAGTCACCCTATTTCCCCTGTACAGTTTATTATAAAAATACAGGCACACCTGCAAGACAAGTAAAGAAACAGGTCTATGAATAAGCCAGTAATTAAAAGATTCTGTAGATAAATACTGTAGTTCGTCCTTTATAAAGTGTTTTCTAAATCTTTAAAGTAACTCAGAGGCTAGTAGATGTTTACAACTTTTACCCTTTCAAAAAGAGTTGGCAATCTGTCACACACTGGTTTAAGAATTTAAGAACAAAACAAGTTAAGAGCTAACTAGTTTCGTAATCCTCTCATGAGGCATGGTCTAGGAGACAGCAAATGTGCCTGAGTCCACTTCAGAGGCAGAAGAAAGAAACAGTGTGGACTTTTCAATAAGTTCATCAGTTATATCTAAATTCAGAGTGCAAAACCTTAACAAAGGCCTGGTGAAAATGAGGATAACTTTCAAGAGTTACTACACATAAACAGATTCCTTCTCAAGATCCTTAATGTCTGTCAATTGAAATTTGAAGGAAAAGAGATACTTCAAAGTTATTAGTTATGAAGATCTTGGCCAACCAGCTATTGCTATTGTCTTATAAGAACTGTCTTTGAGAGCATGGCAAAAATGAAATGAGGTATAACCTGACTAGTTTTCTGTCTGATTTTGGACTGTGCAGCACCAACCTCTTTAAAGCCAGGGTGCTGAGACCATGAAGGTACTTCCACATACAGTAGATATATGGTCCTCTACACTTCAGGAACTAGAACTAAAAGACACTTCTATCAGTTCTAGGGCAACTTTAGAACTTCAAAATAACTTTCAGTTTAAAAACTGACAAGTGCTTCAGATCCCACATATTTGAAAGGGAACCCCTGATTTCAAGTCTGCTGCAAGCTACATTTCAGACCTGACAGTCTTCATAGACTGCATATAGGCAAAATGGGATATAACTTTTGAGGAAACAGCATGTGCTTTGCCATGGAAATGCCTGTAACCTCAGAAGAATCCATTTATCTTTCTGTTTAACTTCAATTCCTTACTGCCTACCGGATATTTTGAGTATGTAAGTATGTGTCTTGGCTAGAGGAAGAAAAGCAGCTTCTGAGACTGTCTTCACAGGCAAACAGACCTCAGGAATCACAAACTGCCCAGCAAACAGCAGTGCGCCCAGAAGGTTGGCTCGGCCGTCATTCTGCAGCTCGTATATGGGCACCTGAGGAGCAGAGACAGAAATTACACCCTGTCCCTTATGTAAAGCCTACACAGCAGAAAAAAGAGTCCAACTTATGCAATATAAATACATGAATAATTTATGTAACAATGATTTATGACAAAGTTTCCTTCTTAATCCAAACTATTTTAGACTGCAGCAGATGGTAGGATTTCCCTCTGTGCTTAACAGACTTTTATAATTTAAGTGCTTGAAAGCTAATATAGACATGATTCTAGTGCAATTAAGCAGATTAAAAGACTGATTCAGGGAATATATAAAAAATAGAAAGCAGGCATAGTTAAGGTGACTGAGCATGGGAGAAATGATTGTACCGAGAAAAAGCAACAGCCCCAGATCATACAGAACTGCCACTACAGGCTCCACAACAGCTCTCTTGCACCATCTTTCCACAGAGTATTGAAAAACTGAGCCAGCAGGTTATTACTGACAGAAAAGGACAAGATTAAAACCAGAAATTGGGTCTGATGAGTGGCGACTTCCACGTCTTTTCAGATTGTCTCTTTATTAACAGAGAGTCAGAGCTCCTTTCAGCAATGAAAAAAAATCACATGTTCCATTGCTAGATCATGTCAGGCAGATCTCCAAACAATAAAGCCAAAAAGAAAGTAAAACCTTGAATACGATGTAACACAACTAGACTGTCCCATCTCAATACAGTAAGTGGGAGCCTACTCCTTCCCAGACTTTTGTATTTTGACTTCAAATAGACCACATATGAAAGGGAAGTTATGAGATGGGGCGGGGAATTTTACAGTGCGATGTTTCATCTCTCCTTTGTGATTAGAGCTGTATTTTACACTCAAGCAAGCTATACTAGTAAGTCAACCCCTCCCCCTCAGACAATATGCAAAGAGCTGATCTCCAGCTAAGAGAATGAAAATTAATAAATATGGTCTTTAGAGGAAAGGAAACAGACCATGTTCGATGGAACAGAAATGATCAAAAATGCATCTAACAGTTAGGGATTATTAAGAAAATCATAAAGAATGCAACAAGATAACAACTGATGAAGTAAGAAGTAATAAACCTCAGGGTTTTAAAAGAAAAAAAGACAGCTAACAACCAGCAGCCACCTGAGGCTGGAAAGATGCTTCTCATATAAACTGATTAATACACAATGGCCAATGACAGCCTCTTATATCTTTCTCTGAAGCATCTGGCCCCAGACATAATGAACTACTGGTCTGATTTGGTACAGAGTTGTAAAGTCATTAATGATAAAATTATGGGGTAGATCCTCAGCTGGTGAGCCTGTCAATTCTCACTAATTTCTATCAGCACTGTGACCATTCACCATGGCCAGAGGCCTGCCCTGCACTACTAAACTGTACAGTGACAGTCAGGATACTGCCTAGTTTTGCATACAAAAACCAAAAATGAGGCTTCTGACTTCACTTTCAAATGAAGCCCATTACCTGAGATCCTGTCAGAACAACAGTTTTACCCAGATTCTCACACATGAAGGATAAGGCTGAAGCTGTATAGGCCATGGTATCAGTGCCGTGAAGGATCACAAAACCATCATACTTTTCGTAGTGCTCCTGGAGATTGAGAAGTTTTCACATGGTTAGAGCAATGCTCTGGCATCAGCAAGTGAAGTACATACTGCATTACTTCCACTGATACAAGCAACAACATAATACTTTAAAGGGTGCTACACTCATAATTCCTCCTAAAGTTATCCTGTTTTCAGTTTAAATGCAATTAAGGGTTAATAGGACACTAAGCACTACAGCCAGCAATTCTAATTATGGAACAGTCAAAGGGGTTCTTCTATGTATACATATTAATGCAGCATTTTAAAACCAGAAGATTGCTAATTAAGAAAAGCTTAGCAATGGCTTTAAACAGGAATGTTAACATATGCAAATTAGTCATATAGTCTGATTCTTTGTTGCCGATTTTACTTTAGAGATTACACCATTCACAGGAACAGATTAGGCAAACCACGGCTATCACAGCATATAGAAAAAAATCCATTTAATCCGGATGGCACAGGCAAATAGCCAGTGTAACAGTGCCCTCTTCTGTTAAAAAGTCATCCTTTCTGCAGCAGTATATGACTTCAGCAAAAAGAGATAAAGGGTCTTCTTCTTGTTCGTTAATGTACATACACTTGCTGGTTTTTGAGAAACCTTAGACTATCAGGCATGTACAGATGCACAAAGTAATTTTCTAACAACTTTAATCTACATACAGTTGCACATAGGAGGTTTTTTTTTTAATGCTAAGACAAATCACACAGCTCATCCTGTTAGAATAAAGTCATCTGCTGGCTTTTGGAGGAAAAAGGAATTGGTTCCTCAATTTCGAGCTGATGTTTACCACGAGTGATGCACGTGGTAAACACTGTAGTGAGAGACACTGATGTCTCTGATGTAATTTGGTAACATGGAAAGGATTACACAGAAGTTTAAGCAGATCTATGAAATGCCAGTGTGAGGCAAAAATGGGTGTGACACAGAATTAAACATGATTTCTTTTTAATTACACTTCTTATGCTATAGTAGGCACACAGGCATCTCCTGAATCTCAGGCATCTCCTGATAATAAGGTCACCTCCAAACTCACCTGCAGATTTCTACTCGTCCTTTTGCTATTTCTTCACTATTACTCATGCCCACATATTGTTACCTACTGGAAGTTTCAGGGGATTTCTGCTTATCTCTAACAAGTTAGCCAGCTGAACAACAGCCAGTGTCGCAAGATCTTTCCGTAGTGCAAACTACAGAATGATGCAAAAGCATGCTATAGTTATTCGACAACGCAGTAACAAGGTAAGTTTCAACAAGGCCTAAGATCACAGAAATAGCAACTTGTCCTCTTTAACTCAACCAGTATGCTCACAAATATTTTCAGCCTTATGAATCTTATTAGATGTGAAAGAACATAGCCTGGTTTAAGCTTCATAATATAAAAGATTAGGCTGGCTATTAAGGAGATATACCATAGAAACACCTCAGAATGTCAGTCACACAGTGAAAAGCACAAGGCTTTGCTAGGTATGTGTCTAAGATGAGCATGAAGTAGAAGTGTCTATATAAGGTGGACAGTTGAAGAAGTTTTGGGTTTTTTTTCTTTTCTCAGCACATTTCACTTGGATGACGCAAACTGGGTAATCGCTATATACTGAGCAGCTGCATTCCATGTACAAGAAAGAAACACTTTTTCCGTAATAAAACTAATATGTCATTAAGGAATAAAAGTAAATTTTCTCCTGTTCAGCATGGGATTGACACCTCCTACTCTTGGCCCTGAGCTTTTCCTAGCTGCACCCCTGCTCTATCCTAGAGGCTTTCCACCTGTACGCCAGCTCCGTCTCTTCCTGGCCTGGCAAGATGAATTCAATAGGAGCATCATCCCTAGTGTGGTGGTTCCAGGACTAGAGGACCTAAGGGTGAAGGACTCTTTCCTGAATCTTCAGCATCATTCCCTGTGTTATTACACTGTTTGCATGCATTGCTATGGCTTGGTTAAAGAAGGAAATTTACACTAAAAAGCCCACTATCACAGAGTGAGAAGGAATGGAAGAGCAGTATCTTAGGCCCACGGTTATTTATTTCTAACAGCTACATATGAATTCCTGGTGTGAAGTATTTTAAATGTTTCACATTTCTACTTTTTTAAAAGCACATAGCTAAATTCAGACACAGGGACAGAAATGCTGTGGTTTTGATGCTCGAGAAGGATGTACTGAATTTATCTATACATGCAGAAATATCTAGGGCTTTAAACATTTCCCAGTGTGGGAAACCTAACCACGATAGCATTTTTCCTACTGGCTGCAAAGCCAAAGCTAGTCAAGTCCATCTGCGTCCAGTATAAGAAAGGCATAAAGACATGAAATTATTTCCTACATCAATAGCCAACTAGTAAGCTATTGGAATACTGAAATGATGAGTAACTAAACCACCTTCAGTTAACTCACCTGTAGCTAAGGATTTTTTCAATGTTTTTGGACAGTGAATTTAAGTCAACTTTTTAGAATGTATCAACCTACATACTACATATCTCATTCAATCATAGCTGCACTTTTCCTATTTTCTTGTACAGAACTATGGCCTGGCTTATTGTGCCATAATTCTGTACTATATAACTGTATTCATGAACTATGTAACTTTAGTGGCTTTGCCACATTTTCAGAAGAAGAAAATTTGGCAGGCCTTGTAAGCACAGTACTTGTTATTTTGCAAGTGTCCTGGGTTCAAGGCACGTAACATTTGCATTTTAAATAAACAAATATATATCATACGTATAGCACTAGTGAGTTGTTTTATCTTGCTAAGTATACTTGATAAACTGATGGTTCTGTTTAAGCAATAAATGAATTATTATCCCTCACCACGGTACCTCAAGTTTCCTTGCAATTTTGGCCCAGTCTTCTGGAGTCATGTTGGAAGAATCAAGCAGCGGTGAGAGCTCCAGGATTGTGTAAAAAATCCTTTTGTTTTGCTTAGAGACACTACAAAGGAAGAGAATTAGACAAAAAAAGAAAGTAATTATTAGAGCTAATATCAGTTCATTGCTTCTCTTTTTTTTTTTTGAATTGGTAGTTTTGACTCTTTTCTTCTCCATCCCCCAAGTCTATGGCAAAAAAATGGTCTTAAATTTGGAACATTAAGTTCCAAGCTTATAAATTCATAACTTGATGTGGTTTAAAGCACAAATCCTTACATTTAATTTAATAATAAATATAATCTCGGAGGTGGAGAGGGGCTGGCAAAATTAAAGACAGAAAAGAAGAACCCAGACTTACTTGTTTTAAGCTCGGAACTGATTTCTAACAAAAGCTGATACAAAGCCCTAAGGTTTAAAAATGCTTCATAAGCTACTGAGAGGAATTTATAAAGCTCCCAAGGTTTATAGGGGGTCAACAGAAGAGTTGCAACAACTTTCTGATCCTTTGATAAATATAAATAGGTAACCTTCCATGACACAAAGGGTATCTTCTCTTAAGAGTGTTATGACTGGAATTCATTATTGTGGCCTTTAGAAGATCCACTCTTGTCAGTTTCTTTGGCCTGAGATTTCAGAAAAAGTTCTCTTGATTAGTTAAGATCTTCAAGTAGACTGTTGCCTTGGCTAGTAATAGGCTAACTCTGTAAAACCCCAGTCCCAGCCTATTAGGCCTGTTGTCACCGTGGTATTAAAGTTTGCTATATGGTACTATCTATCTCTTGTTATGATGAGGAGTTTAAGCATGTGATAACAGCAAAGATATTAAAATACTGGCACAGGTGTAAAACAAAAGCCTCAGGAATATAAACAACTCACTGGCTACCAATTATTGGCCACAAGTGCAACCTTGACAGCTGGGAAAATACTGCTCTAAGTAGAATAAAAACAAGACAAAGGAACTATGCAAGGGAAAACAAAACAAAACAAAAACAAACCAAAACAAAACCAAATAGTCAAGCAATAGGATAAAGTACCTGTGGGGCTGAGGAATGTAACACTTTCAAACCTCATGCAGTGTGTTGCCCAGCAGGTGGAGACCAAAGATTAAGAGTGTCTAGACACCCAACTTTAAAAGTACATGATCCCCCTTGGAGGAGACATATCAACGGTGATGATGGCTATGGAATCACAGTGGGATTGTCACAGGTTTAAGCAAACTGTCTGCTCTTCCTGCTCCCAGGGACCATGGGTCTCCCTTTCTCCACCTGGCTATCACAAGAAATCTTACTCTTCAAAGACCTTTGATTTGCCAGCCAAATGGACTGCATACAAAGCATGTGTTCTATACCCCACAGAACATGTTCAATTCTCCACATTTACTTTATAACATCTCAGAATAAAGTCAACTACATAGAAGTCAACTTGGCAGTTAAGATTTGGCATAATAAAAAAACCCTACTATTTTCTGCTACCTTTCTGAAACTTGGAAGAGGATAAAATATCAACCATTTTCACCCAATCTTACATTACTTGGAATGTGTTCTTAACTAGCAATGCAGTGGCCAATGAACAGCTAACAAAGAACTGCTAGCAGGCCAGCTCTGTCCCTCCTACTCACTCTTCCAGGCAGAGCCATTGGGAGCATGGTTAACAGGATCACCTTCACAGCATTCTTAATGCTTTTCCACTGCCTGAATGACGGAAAGTTCCCTGCCAGCTGTAACTGTGATAGATACTTCAACATTTATATTGGAAGACAGTCAAAGGCTTCAGAAAAGATCAGAAAATTGCATGGATGTGTAAAAGAGATCAGGTGATTAGCGCACAGAAAAGTTGATTACCTTCCCTAGGCATTCTCAATAGTGTTTTGTCCCCACTTGTGATTATGTATATATTTATAGCTACATAAAATATGCAAAACCAAGAGTCAATTACCAGTTCATCAGCTAATAAAATCTGCAGACCCACTCCATTTATGAGGCCTGCAAGAGAGTTGTGTACAGCATAGAGAGCATTTAAACAATGTGTAGGGAATTTTTCATACCAGCTGACATACTGTACCTAAGAAGTTAGACTTCATATGAAAAATTGCCTTGCTGGACATCATATTCACACATGCTAAGAGTAACTTTGGAAGTCAGTTGAAAATCTGTGAAAAGAAAGCTCCCCTGAGGATGTGATATTTAAATAAAACACAACATACTGACACCACAGACCAACGCAGTCTACAACTTTCGATGCCTCTCTCTAAAAAGACATCATACTGTTCCTCTTAGATTGAGGTCATCGCACAAATATACAAAGATCACAAAATACTCCTATTTTCTTCCCTCAGAAACTCACAATATTTCTCAGTCTCCTAGTTAAAATATCACTGGGCTAGCACAAAAGAGAAAATGGCATATTGCCATGACCAACCTCCAGAAACAGCACTCAGCAGTGCCAAAAAAACAAGACAAGATTGGGTTTTAAACCTCAGGTTTTGATGGAAATGATTGTTTTAAGCTTTTCTGCCCTTTATGGAAAAGAAGTTTCAGGACAACTGTATTTAGGATTCAAATGGGTATACTACTGTAGTTTTGCTATATTTCAAATCTCTTAAAGTATTTGAAAGTTATTCAGTTACAAACACAGTATTGTAAGAGATCCATTTTTCTTAGATTTATCATCATATCAATACTACTCCACCAGCAAGCAGTTAATTTCTTTTCCCTTTACCCTTTTTCTTGCCATCTGCCTTTTAAGTGGCTACTTTTAAAAGCTTTACACAGAGACCTCAATACAAAATAGAAAGAAATTAATAAACCTTAGGATTTCTTTGTGTGTCCTGATTTTCTCCTTAAAGATGAAAGAATATCCATGTTTACTTTTATAGCAAAACAGCTATAGATCCATTACTTTTTGAATGACTGTGTAAAATCATCCTTTGTGCAAAGTTAACACGTTTACAGGGGTACAGTCATTCAGCACAGCCGAGGAATATCTCAAATTAGCATACTGCCCTCTAAATAAAACTTATAAGCTTATTAATCATTGTCCAACAGTTATGAAGCGATGCAGATTAATCGTAAGCCCATCACTTATTACCGTAATGTTGCATAATTTTGTGAAAGACAATCAGCTTTTAGATTTTTTTAAAAACCAGAAGGCCTGCAGAATTAAAGCATGAGGCCTATTCACAGACGCATTAACTAGATGCTGCTTTTTCAGTCATATGCTGAAGGTAATTTACACAGAGCTGTATACACCGCTTTCTTAGTTTCTACAGAATGTTTGTATGTTTGCACAGTAGCAAATTAATATCCAATACAAGAAAAAAAATGCAGGACTAAGCTACCAAAATGGTTACTTGTTGCCTAATTTAGAAGTTCTCAAACAGTTGTAAGACACTTCATTTCAAATATACCAAAACAGGCACAATAGGCTTTTTCCTTTTAAGTCAATATAAGCATTTTTGCTAATCTCATAATGGATTCCTTACATTTAAAGTTTGGTGATGTAATTACCTGAAGATTAACAAGATACTTCCTAACCCTTCCACTGCCCCAGGAAAACATACTTACGGGAGCACCAGTGTGTTTTCTGGAAATTCATGGAAGCTGTTCAGTTTTGTTTCCTGGGCATATGCCTCATCATGCAGCATTGGCATTGTTTTCAAGCTGCTTACTAATTTATTTGCCTCAGGAGCAAGCCCTTGAAAATAAAGAATAAAGGAAGTAAATAATGGCACACGGATGGAAGGAAACAAGTGGCACAGTAAGGAGGGAAGAAGTCAAGTTACACAGCTTTTGCCCATCCTTCCAAATGAAATTTAAATAGCCTATTGCCAGTTTCAGAACACGAAAATCAGATATAACCAATAAATCTCTGTAGTTATCTTTTCTTGACTTGAATAAATCCGTATTTTATTTAAGAGAAATAATGTTACAATTCTCCTCCATTTAAAATACTTGTGTTCTACCTGTTCTTAATTGTTTGTGTGCAAATGCCAATCATCGGTAAGGGCAGGAAGCCAATTTTTGCAACTGTAGCAAAAAGCTACCACTTTCTTTTATATTTGCCACAGCTATTCTCTACCTGTGGCAGAAAAAGAGGTAGAAGACTTACAAAACACTGAGCATTACTTTGTACTATCAAGTTGTGATACTTAAAACTTCTTAGCCTATAGTAGTATTGGCACAAACAGCAAAGCAGTAGTATGACTATATTGGAAGGCTGTATGTTATGTCTATCAATGGCAATCGCATCTCCAGAGAGAAAAAAAATAAATAAAAGAAAAAGCTAAATCAAACCCCACAGTAGGTATTGAGCATTGATGCAGATTCTCTATCTTTATGTAGAGATAAACATCAGCTTCCCAGAGTCTTAAGTGATCTAATCAGTCTCTCTTGAGGGTTTATGACTGAACATCTCAGTTGGCAAGAAACTGAGAATGTGCATAAGCTGCTGAATAGAAAAAGTGAAATACGTGGATGCGTCTTTAAGGTCTGTTCACCCTTTCCCTGGTCATGATGGTGTCTTTCTCTGTGGTAGGAGCCCTAATTTTATAAGTCTTCTGCACCTTTAACTAGCCTAAGGACATTTAGTGTTTGCTGGATCTGCAAGTGTCCTGGTTACAACCAGGTATTTCAAAAGGAATCCGCATGCCGTTCTCTCTTAGCCAGAAAGGCATCTTCATTTTTGATGTTACAATCCTCAGCTTCGTAGAAGTGACTGCACTTGTGGATCTAACTTGCATCCCATCTCCCAATATCCTGTTTCCAGAATGACAGTGACAGTCCTGGCATCCACAGTCAGAAGCCACCCTGGTTTTCTTAAATCTGATTTTTTGGGATGTTTTCATTCAAGGAACTTCCATCAGAGGTAATTCCTTCTTGACTTCAAGATTCTACTGGCGTTACTGTCCAGTTCAGTTTAATTGCAGTGAATGTGTTTTATACCACCTGTTCAGATGGCAAACTCTCAAACCACATTATCCTACTTCTGCTAGTTCTAGTTGTTCCTAATTTGAAGCCAAGTAATCCTGCCCTACTTCCTACCTCTTCTGTTTTGAACAGATGATTCTCATCCAAGTTAGCATCTTCCTTTTTTTTTTTTGCTTCACCTTCAAACAGAAAATACTCCAAACCACAGAGTATTTTCGGTAGTATTGCTGCCTTTTTCCATTTACCCATTTACTTTCCAAACTGACAGAAAAATCCTTAAGAACTCCCTAATCTCCCTCCTGGCTTGCCTTAAATGAAGTAGCAAACCTCTTCATAGCCAACTTTCTCACAGGATGGCAACAGCATTTGAGTGGATTTGCTTGGATTCCTGACGGAATACTTTGTTTTACAAAATACACTTAACATGCTTTCAAGCTTTGGTTGTTTCATTCATTCAGCTATAATCCCTGCTTTTTCCTACTAAGGGTGTTCCTAGCTTAGTCCTAAAAGGCCACTTCTGCTGTTCTTGGGCACAGAGACATTTTGGCTCCGAAATTCAGTCCAGTTTCAAGCGTTTTCTGGGTATTTTCTGATTATTCTTGTTTAGCCAATGCTCATCTTGCTCTGAATATTGACAACGGATTAGATTGTTTACTTTTTGTATTTGCTCCAGGAACCAGAGAGCTGATGTATGTTAATATTCTTAAATCCCTCCTCCATAAACAGCAGTTCCTCATCTCTTAATCACAAATCTGTCAGGACTTTTCTGTAACTGCTTCCACTGAACTTAAACCTTTTTGTTAAGACATTCTGCGGAATGTTGCCCACTTGCAACCTATGCAGTACCCTAAACGCATCCATGTGTTTCTGCTTTACAGCTTCAAGAAGCAAACATGGGGCAATTCAAGTGCAACTGTTTTAAGAATACTTCTACTTTATTATGAATGGAAAACATTTTTTGTGAGCCAAGCTTGTTAACCAAGTATTTGAAGCAACTTCACCCCTGCAGAGAAGAGGCAGGCTGTGCAATTTGTCCAAACAGCTCCCATCAGCTTCTGTCCTCTCCTTCTTTAGTTGGCCAACCCGAGCATCACAAAGCAGACAGACAAAGGCAGAAGAGCAAACAAGCAACTGTGGCTGAGGAGAACAAGGATGGTTCTGTCTTATCTCCAGTCAAGGAGACTGCTTTTCACCCTGCTCCCGTAGGTAACTGTTACAGTTACTTGCCAATGGAGAAATCCTATAACCTGTGCTGCAGCAGAGAAGAGGGAGCTGAATTAAGTCTGATGCTGCTGTGTCAGTGGGGGCTCTGCACCTGAGAAACCTCTGGCACTGGGGAGAAAGAGCATAATGCATGCTGAAGTCATCATCCTGAATCCTAAAAAGCTCTCCATGCTAAAGAATACGAAGAACTTCACTAAACCAGTTTTTATCTATGGGATTATCAATACATGTGGCACATACATCTTAGTGCCAGATCCCAAAGGTAACAACTGTATTTTGCAAAGGCAAAGCAGCAGAAAGTGTTCTCCAAAATACTGATTTCTGCAGTTGCAGTAGTTGGAGCTTTCAGAAATGTGGATAGGTTTCAAACAGAAAAAGATTTGGACTACAGCAGTCAGTCCTTTGGGAGTCTAGTATGTCTAGAAAAGACACATAATTAAGTTACCCAGGCAGACTGTATCCAAAACAAGTAATCTTCCTATGGCATTTAGCTTAGTTATACTTGCATTTGTTGGGTGTTCTTTCTCTCGATATTTCAGGTTAAATCTTCCTGAAGGTACCAGCCAGGAGAATGTGAGCACAAACTTGATGCAAAGATTAGTATTGCAGCAACCTCACTAATGAGTGCAGTAAGACTGTCTTTCTGAAATGAGCTACCAATAAGTCAAAAGGGGCTGTTTTGGGAGGAAATAAGTCGTAGGAAGCAGAAGGAATAATTTAAAACATGCATTGAAATGCATTATTTGGCAGCAAAAACACAAATAGTGAGAGTGTCTGCAACTGAGCCTGGTTGTCGCTCAACTCACAAAAACAGAAGCAGACTATCCATCCAAAAAGAATATTACTCCTGCACAGTAACCTGTAGGTGTGCAGAAAGTCCACAGGTCCAAGACACGCCAGAGAGGCCACATGTGCATAGGTCAACTGCCGAATCTCTGTGAAGAGGTTTACAACCAGGTATCATGGTGATAAATAATCACTCCATACATACACAGTGAGACTAGGGAATGTGATTGTATCAGTCTTGCATATGGGGGCAGTTCTGCACAGGAACATACTCCTTGCAGAACACATTAGGCCTCTCAAAATTGTTAGATTTTAAGAATGAAACCATCTTCTCCCAGCAACTGGAAAGGCCATAAAAAAGCTTGTAAGCCTAGACAGAAATTAGTTAGGTAGAAACCTAGCTTGATCCCTTCACTTTGAGCAGTTGCTGCTATTAGATGCTGGTTTCATTCAGCTCAAAAAAGCTACTTACTTTCCACTTTGCTTGAAATAAAACACTTGTAATTCTAAGTATGGTTGTAAACAGGCATTTTCTATCAATTAATAAAAGAAATGAGCATCTATTGTTCTTTCCTTTGAAGCATGCTGCCTTTCTTTCCACCAGCTTCTACCTGAACACTAAAGACTGCCAAATGTTGTAAAGGAAGTACTCTGGCTGCTCTGCTGCTAGGTCTGTGCATGAAAAGCAAGCTGAAACTTACTAGGATGTAGCAAGTCAGCGTCATTGGATCATAACTACAAGATTGTTTGCACATGATTTAATGATTGACTCTTGTTAGGCAAAAGAAAATAAAAAGAGTTAATTTATAAAAGAATGAGACAGGTCATTTCAATTTATTTGCTTTAAAAAGGTGTTTAGGAAGCTGAGTCAGTAGAAGTAGCAAATTATTTCAGTATAAACAATTCAGAGAGAGGAAAGTCAACACGTCATATGAAACACAGACTTTTTTTTTTTTTTTACAACTCTGATAAACACAAAGATGACAGCCATAAAAACTAAAGCAGAACAACCCCGTAGAGCATCTTCCCTACAATAATAAGGATCAACTAGACACTGTCTTCTGAGAAAGAAGGGTATGTATTAGAAAAAATACCCAACAAACCAGCCTAAGAAGCTCTGAGGCAAAGCCCCTTGTGTATTTCAGGCAGGGGCTTGAAATTCTGTAGCAGGGAACACAAGTACTTGTGCTTCTAAACCTAAACAAGGCAGGCTCTTGAAGGCCTGGGATGCTCCACTGCCTTTCAAGTGAAGGAAGAAGAAAATTGAATAGATTTTCATCAAAATTGGACAGCTTCCCTTCCCCCTTTTCCCTTTATACCAATGCTGGCAAATGCATAGCCCTGCAGCAAGTCAGAGCTGGCCAAAACCCATTCCTTTTCCCAGATACGTTAGCTAGCTGATGCTTCTGGCATCCCTGGGATGTGCGCCTACTGAGTAATGGCCTTGTGGTGCCCAGGTGCCACTGCAACTAGCTTCTGGACTGGGGACCTGAGGAGGTGTCAGGTGAGTCTAGGCACCTACCTGCTGACATTTAGTTTTAGGGGCACCTGAAAACACAGCATATACCTGTAAGTATACCCAAGAAACTTCTGTGTAAAATGCCAACAGCATACTGAAACTTAAACGTTTTTCAGCTGGTGGGAGGAGGTTTGACATGTCCAGCCTTTTCATCAATGTTAAGTCTTGCCCTCGCTTAGTAAAGTAAAGCAGAACTGCTCAATGATCTCTTGAAGAAAGTCAAGAGCTGGCTGGAAAGCAGCAGCAGCCTGCCCAGAGGCAGGTGAGCATCTGATCTCACTCGCTAGGACACTTGGCAGCACCTACGTATGCTGCCTCTCTTGCATCAGCTCTGTCAGGTCACTACTTGAAAATCCTTGACACGGCCACCACCTCCAACAGCACACGCTCTTCCCAGTGGGAATGCGAGGCACATGATCTTTTAGGGCTAAAAAAAGCCCGCATCACCAGTACGATTAAGCCGGTTTCATTTTCAGCGTGTGGAGGGGAGAACTCATGCTTCAGGAAACACGTTGTCTTACACCGCAACCTGCTCTAACTAGCTGTGAGGCTCACTTGTCAGAAGGATGCCTATCAGCTAAGCCACCGAAATAACCAGCTGGTAGGAGCAGAGGATTAGAAATTCGCACACACCCTTCTGGCGTTGCTCGTATCAGTTACGAGAAACCCGAGGATGCTAAACCACAAACCGCGCCAGGGACAGCGGCCACAAAGCAGGGCTTCGCAGTTAAAGAAGCGGCAGTCTCGGCCTCAGACAAGCGGCGCATCCCCCGGCCCTGCTCCCGCCAGCACCCCACGCAAGGGCCGGCTTCCAGAGCACCCTACTGGGGACCCCGCCGCGGTCCCGCTCCCCCCGAAGCCCCCTCACCCTTGTCGTCCTGCACCATGCCGATGGTGCCCCCCGTGTTGATGACCAGCACCCGCGCCTCGGCCTTCGAACCGCTGCCGGGGGCCGGGGGGCACCCGGGGCGCTCCTGAGGGCGGGGGCAGGCCAGGGCTCTGCTCAGCGAACGCGCACCCGCCGGGTGCCGTGCCGCCGCTCCCGCCTCCATCCCGCTCCCGAAGAACCGCTACCTCCCGCCTGCCGAACTGAGGGTTATAGCGCGGCTGCGGGGCCGCCCCTTCCCGCCCTGCCGGGCGGGCAGCGGGGTGGGGCCTGCCTGGGCCACGGCGCTGCCTCAGGGGCGGGGACAGGCGCCATTCCCGCCCTGCGGAGCTAACCGCTGGGAGGCGGTGGCGGCAGCGGGCGGGACGGGGCGGGACGGGACGGGACGGGTCTGCCTGGCCCCGCCGCCAGCGTGCGGCGCCTCCCCTTGGACTTTGCTCCGCTGCGACCGCGGCTCCGGGGAAACGGGAAGGTTCTTCACGCTTGGAGGAGAGCGGGGAGCAGCGGCGCGTTCAGGGCCCGGGGAGGAGAGGGGGGTAGACAGGGTTCGGGGTCAGCCCCGGAGGGAAGACCGGAGTCGTCCCGTCTGTTTTCCAGAAAGCTTCTGGGGAAGAAGGCAGGAGCTTCCTCTGCTCATCTGGCCTCTGAAGTGACTGCTGCTTACCATGCTGTGTGTTTTATCCTGATGATAAGCACTTCTGTCATTAGCTGTATCTGCAAAAAGGTGGTTATCAGTAAGACCTGAATACCATGATCCTTAAGTGGACTTTTTCCATGCAGTAGGGATGCTTCAGAGTCACGGGTGATGCAGAGAAGAACACAAACAGGTTTAAGAAACAGTGACAATGCGAACACATCTACCTCATTTCAGTGCTCCATGAGAGACAGCGCCAGTATTATTGCCCATAGCCCAGGTGGTGATAATACTGTAGTAGAATTGTCAGTGTTATCAAAATAGATGGAGTAATGCTGGAATTCATATGCCTGTGGAAAACAGTGGTGTCTTCTGGTCTTACAATACCAGCAGTTCCTTGAGTCCTTAGTACCTACAAAGACAAAATGGTGAGATGTTATTTATAGAATCATAGAACAGTTAGGGTTGGAAAAGACCTAAAGATCACCTAGTTCCAACCTCCCTGCCATGGGCAGGGACACCTCACACTAGACCATGTCACCCAAGGCTCTGTCCAACCTGGCCTTGAACACCACGAGGATGGAGAATTCACAACCTCCCTGGGCAACCCATTCCAGTGCCTCACCACCCTAACAGGAAAGAATTTCTTCCTTATATCCAATCTAAACTTCCCCTGTTTAAGTTTGAACCCGTTACCCCTTGTCCTGTCACTACCGAACCACACAGCTTGGTGTCATCGGCAAACTTGCTGAGGGCGCACTCAATCCCACTGTCCATGTCAGCAACAAAGATGTTAAACAAGACTGCTTCCAACACTCATCCCTGAGGGACACCACTTGTTACTGGTCTCCAGCTGGAAAACATTGAGCCATTGACCACAACTCTTTGTGTGCAGCCATCCAGCCAGTTCTTTATCCACCGAGTGGTCCATCCATCAAATTGATGTCTCTCCAGTTTAGAGACAAGGATGTCGTGTCAAATGCTTTGCACAAGTCCAGGTAGATGACATCAGCTGCTCTACCCCTGTCCATCAGTTCTGTAGTCCCATCATAGAAGGCCACCAGATTGGTCAGGCAGGATTTCCCCTTAGTGAAGCCATGCTGGCTGTCACCAAGCACCTTGTTGATTTTCATGTGCCTTAGCATGCCTTCCAGGAGAATCTGTTCCAAGATTTTGCCAGGCACAGAGGTGAGACTGACTGGTCTGTAATTCCCCGGGTCATCCATTTTCCCCTTCTTGAAAACTGGGTTTATATTTCCCTTTTTCGAGTCGTCTGGAGCTTCACCTGACTGCCATGATTTCTCAAATATGATGGCCAGTGGCTTAGCAACTTCATTCGCCAGCTCCTTCAGGACCCACGGATGAATCTCATCAGGTCCCATGGACATGTGCACATTCAGGTTTTTAAGATGTCTTGAACCAGATCCTCTCCTACAGTGGGCCTAGGGTCTTCATTCTCACAGTCCCTGCATCTGCCTTCCAAGACTTGGGTGGTGTGGTCAGAACTTTTGCCAGTGAAGACCGAGGCAAAGAAGTCATTCAGAACCTCAGCCTTCTCCAAATCCAGGGTAGTCAGCTCTCCTGCGAGCTTCCGGAGGGGGCCTACATTGTCCTTAGTCTGTCTTTTATTCAGTACACACGTATAGAATCCCTTCGTGTTATCTTTCACATCCCTAGCCAAGTTTAATTATAACTGGGCTTTCCTAACATGGTCCTTAGCTTCCCAGACAACATCCCTGTACTCTTCCCATGCCACCTGTCCTTGCTTCCACCTTTTAAAAGCCTCTTTTTTCCTTTGAATTTTCCTCAGCAGCTCCATGTCCATCCAAGGAGGTCTCCTAGCCCTCCTGCTGCACTTCCTTCTAGTTGGGATGCAACACTCCTGACCTTGTAGGAGGTGATCCTTGAATATCAACCAACAGTCTTGGCCCCCCTGCCCTCTAGGGCTGTATCCCATGGAACCTTACTAAGCAGGTTCCTGAAGAGGCCAAAGTCTGCTCTCTTGAAGTCCAGGGCAGTGAGCTTGCTGCACGCTCTTCTCACTGTCCTGAGGATCTTGAATTCGACCATCTCATGATCTCTGCATCCAAGGCTGCCCTGGAGCGTCACATTTCCAACGAGCCCTTCCCTGTTGGTGAGCACGAGGTCAAGCATGGCACCTCTCCTTGTCAGCTCCTCTGTTACTTGCAGAAGGAAGTTGTCTTCCATACAATCAAGGAATCTCCTGTATTGCTTGTGCCGGGCTGTACTGTCCCTCCAACAGATACCAGGGTGGTTGAAGTCCCCCATGAGAACAAGGGCCTGTGATCATGAGGCTTTTCCTATCTGTCTGTAGAGTGCTTCACCCACAGAGTCCTCTTGACCAGTTGGTCTGTAACAGATCCCCACAGTAATGTCTCCCATAGCTGTATTCCCTTTAACCCTGACCCACAAACTCTCTGTTAACTGCTCACCTGTCCCCAGACAGAGTTCCATACTCTCCAGCCTATCCCTAACATAAATAGTATCTTCCCCTCCCTGCCTGCCAGGCCTGTCTTTTCTAAAGAGCCTGTAACCTTCCATTCCAACACTCCAGTCATAGGAGCCATCCCACCATATTTCTGTGATGCCTATTATATCATACCCCTCTAGACGTGCACACATCTCTAATTCCTCATTTGTTCCCCATACTACGGGCGTTTGTATGGAGGCATCTGAGCTGAGCTCCAACTGAAGCCGGCTCATTGACTGGAGCGGCTGGGGTATCTCTGCATTGCTCCAGGCATTTATTATAGGTGCTGGCAACTGACTGGGTGTTTTGGGATGGAATGATGTCCCCCTCCCTCAACACATCTAGTTTAAAGCCTCCTTGATCAGTCTGGCAAGCCTCCTATCACACCAGCTCCACCAGCTTCCAGTAGACCTGGCCTCCGATCCAGTGTTGAAGGTGTCCTCTTTCAAGCTACTCACCTCAGCAATTAATTGTAAATAAATACCATAACAGAAAGAATGTTGAATTGCAGTTTAAAGTGAAGACTCATCTCCATTGTCTTCTAGATCATAGGGGTAACTGAACTCCAATTTATATTTCAGCTTTTTGTTACCAATGATGTGCTAGGCATTTCTCAAATTCATCTTCCTGTAACAGTCTTCCTAACCTTCCAGGCATACAAGCCCTTCTTCAAATGCTTCAAAATAGAAGCATTTGACTTCAAAACTAAATACAAATTTAGGGTTTAGTGTCTAGGTTAAAATAGTTTATACATCTGGATTAGAAGGCAATTTTGCAGGTAAAGGAAGGTGATGTTATAGGTGTTTTACAGAAAAAGCTAGTGATGTGTACCATATAGACTCTGGAGCTCTAAGAGGTTAATTGTGGAAAGGAGGGCATATTAAGCTCTGGCATAAAACAAGATGAGCTGTATTAAGCCCTGTATTGGTGTCTGGCTTACATACAGGTTTTACTTCTAGGAGTCATGTTTGGAAGGTATATATGGGAGTTTCTTTTGAGGATCAGGTATGAGGTCAAGAATAAGGAGGCCAAAGTTGGTTTAAAGGAGACCTGGGAAGTATTGAGGTCTGTTGTCATGAGATTTGTTATTACGGGCAAACTATAAAGCAAAAAGTAACTGGCTAAAAACCAGGCCAGTTACAAAGGACAGTAACTGCTGAGAAGCAGAGTCTAAATGTGGTAAGAATATGCTGCTGAAGAAGTACCTTGAGGCAAAACATGAGCTTAAGTGCCAGAGTTACCCAGTAAGCCAAAGAACATGTTTCTGGTATTAAAGTAGTCGGGAATTTTTGCTCCAGGTCATGTGAACTGAAGTTGTACCCTGTACTGCAACTTCTAAATAAAATTTAACTCCATTTAAATGTAAAAACATGTATTATGTGATGGTCCAAGCAATTTCTTCAGCTTCCAATTTCTATGACTTACTGTTCCAACAGAAATAAATTTGATTCATTCCCTCCAGAACTCCCCTCAAAAAAAGAAAGGCTTAATGCAATGCACAGAATATATGTCTGTAAGTGTAAACTGGGGGCTCAGTTCCCCCTGGGTATTGCTATGATCATACTGCAACTGAATTTTTTGAAATGAAAAATCAATGAAGATCAACACAATTGCAAATAGATGGGTTTATGACACTGTATTTGCAATTAAATTCAATATACAGACCTCTTTAGAAACTAGGTCACATTGAACATATTTCCAGATTGTTTATGTACTTAAATGAGCACATTCCACCAATATATTCCAAGTCATGTCTCTTGTAGAGCTCTTAATGGGTTTAAACATGAACAATTTACAAGAGTTTCTTAAGAGTTTCATCAGAATATCTGACATATAGTTTGCTCAAGTGACAGGAAGCAAGAGTAGTGCTAGCATAAGGCAATTACCTTTTTCACGGGGTAGGGATGCACAGAATTCCTAATAATTCAGAAAAAGGGTCTTCCAAAATGGGTCAACAGCACCTATGTCACAAAAATGAACAGTCATTTATCTGTATAGGTTTAGGTGAAACAAGTACTTGGTACTCAAGTCACTGCTGATTCTCTCTCCCTCTTCTTCTTCCTTTTACAGTGG